GATTGGTCATGGTCCTTATTTGGACATTCTGCGACTTCATAAGATTGGTCATGGTCTGTATTTGGGCATTCTGCGACTTCATAAGATTGGTCATGGTCCTTATTTGGGCATTCTGCGACATCATAAGATTGGTCATGGTCCTTATTTGGGCATTCTGTGACTTCATAAGATTGGTCATGGTCTATATTTGGACATTATGTGACCATATAAGGTTGGTCATAGTCCTTATTTGGACATTCTGTGACCTTTTAAGATTGGTCATGGTCTTTATTTGGGCATTCTGTGACCTTTTAAGATTGGTCATGGTCCTTATTTGGACATTCTGCGACTTCATAAGATTGGTCATGGTCCTTATTTGGACATTCTGCGACTTCATAAGATTGGTCATGGTCTATATTTGGGCATTCTGTGACTTCATAAGATTGGTCATGGTCTATATTTGGGCATTCTGCGACTTCATAAGATTGGTCATGGTCCTTATTTGGGCATTCTGTGACTTCATAAGATTGGTCATGGTCTATATTTGGACATTATGTGACCATATAAGGTTGGTCATAGTCCTTATTTGGACATTCTGTGACCTTTTAAGATTGGTCATGGTCCTTATTTGGACATTCTGTGACCTTTTAAGATTGGTCATGGTCCTTATTTGGACATTCTGTGACCATATAAGATTGGTCATAGTCCTTATTTGGGCATTCTGTATTTTCATATAAATAACCATATGTGGTTCTTACTTAGAAATTGTGGTCCTTATTTGGGCATTGTGTTTCTATAGATCAATATTTGCCACTGTCTGGGATATGACAAACCTCTAAAACATGTAGATTCTTGGCTATACATGTAGTGATAGAATTGGTAGAACAGTGACTCACTACATCATATTCATCTATTTCACTCGCAGGATGTCAGTGATAGAATAGAAAAGCTGCCTTTGGATGATAGTGTTGTTATAGAATTAGAAAAAAATGGAAAAGAAGTTGTAAAGTATGACTGGAGGTCAAATATCACTCAAGAATTACAGTCAGGTGAGTGTATTGAATGAATGTATAATCTTATCTTCTGTATTTGCTTTATTAGTAGCGCATGTACTTATGTAAATGACACATGAGTTTCTACCATCAAAATAAGTCACTGATGAAATATACAATGCATAGAACTCATGGTTTACATGCACTTCTGTTGGAGATGCACTTATAATACAGTAAATATGGTATATGTCATCTATTGTACCATGTTTAATTATTTTAAATGAGTTAACAGATTTATTAGTCCCCGTTGAACATTCCATGTTTTGAGTTCTGTTCTTCTGTCTAACGTCATTTCTCAGGCCTGCCTGTACTGATTTTGTATGGGGACTATGTCATTGTAAGAATTGTTTTCCCAAAATTCCATCCATAGATTCCTGCTTGCATGACACTATATGTCTTTATTGTTTACAGATTTAAGGAAGTTTAGAACATATCGTGGTAATTCTGTGAGAGATCTACTAAGAGCTATGAGAAATAAGGTACAGTATAACTAACTTTTCACTCCCTGTGGACTAATTGCTTGGCCTCTGTTAATTCTTCCATTGCTTGTTCATCTAGATTCATTTTGTTGACTTGCTTAGACCTGGACCAAATTTTGCTATGAGTATCTGAGCATTAGGTTAAGGTATAAAAGGCAAATCTTTTCAAAATCAAGAATACTACTATTTTAGAACTGAATTTCTGATATATAATGATAGATTTTGTTTGAGTTTTCTACTTGTATGGAACCTTGTTGATTTTTCTTATACAGATCTGATTTCACATGATATGGGGAATAAGGTATTACCATGATCATCTAACTAAATGCCCAGGGCACTTGACTTCAAAAATCATGAGTTTTAGGGGGATGGACACTTACCCGAACACCCCTCATCGAAAAAGAGTTTACTTCTTTTGGGGAAAATAAAACTACATAGTACAAAATCAGTTGCGTCGTCATTTATTTCAACAATAATTGTACAATGAAGAAACAGAAATGGTCACAAAAAATATGCACATTTTATAACTTACTGGTTAAACAAGTCATTGAAAATGACACAGTCCCCGTTAAGTTCTCTTTGTGCTCGTCATATTAAAGCGGAGGGGTTGTCGCGAGCATGTCTTTGAAACTTGAGTTCCAAGTGGCGTATACAACAGATTGTTTATTTACATCAAAACACGTGTTTCGTGTCATAGTAATATGGCCAAAATAAAAACAGCTGTTATTCAGCCATCTTTGATCTGATTATGAAACACACTGATATGTATGATGTATGTGCCAAATACGAATGAAAATGGTACATAAATTGTGGAAATATAGTAAAGTCAGATGGCTGTCAATCGGCCATCCTTGACCAGATTTTGAAACAAATTGTCATGGACATGCATTCTAACATGTATAAAGTACATGTATGTGCCAAATTTGAATGAAAACTGACAGAGCACGTCCAAGATACCGCATAAAAAAACAAAAACAAGATGCCTGCCAGTTGACCATCTTTGATCCAATTGCGAAATATATCGTCATGGACATGTATCCTAACATGTATAATCTATGTACCAAGTTTGAATGACAACTGACAAAGCATGTCCAAAATACAACATTTTCAAAAAACAAGATGGCTGCCAGTCGGCCATTTTGAATCGAATCGCTAAACCACTGTATGTGCATATGTCCCACATAAGGTACTAGGCACATGCAAAGAATGAACGGAAGCGGTCGACAGGATTCTGAATTATGACGTTGGATAGACTGACTCACGGACAGACGGACGGTCGGACGGACAAACTCAGGAACTCACGGACGGTCGGGGACATGTATCCTAACATGTATGATCTATGTACTAAATTTGAATGAAAACTGACAAAGCATGTCTAAAATACGACATTTTCAAAAAACAAGATGGCTGCCAGTCGGCCATCTTTGATCCAATTGTGAAATAAATCGTCATGGACATATATCCTAACATGTATAATCTATGTACCAAGTTTGAATGAAAACTTACAAAGCATGTCCAAAATACAACATTTTCAAAAAACAAGATGGCTGCCTGTCGGCCATTTTGAATCAAATCGCTAAACCACTGCATGTGCATATGTCCCACATAAAGTAGTAGGCACATGCAAAGAATGAACGGAATCGGTCCAAGGGATTCTGAGATATGACTCCGGACGGACGCACGAACGCACAGACGGACGGAGACTGAATTATAAGTCCCCGTTTTTGGACTTCGTCCGAACGGGGACTAAATATTAGAGCCTGTTGGAACACAGGCGAAGTTAGAATCTTCATCATTATCAATCGTATGCAAACTCTTAATGCAAAGTATTTTCGGCCATGTTGTTTTCTTGCACGATTTGACCTTCAACAACATCTGACCTGATAAAGTCAAGTCTGTTATAAACCAATCAGAATGCTGTGTTGTACAAATTTTTTTTCTCTGGGAATTTTCAAGGGATTCTTTGTAAAGCAATGCAGAAGTGAATTATCGATGTATGATCTATTGGAACTGATTTTGGCGAAAAAAAGCCATGATTTAAAAACAAAAAATGGTAATTAGCAATTTTTTATAGGTAAACTAAATATGGAATGAAGTATTTATCGTCTTTCACATTCGTTAACAGGTCAAGGTTGAGGCGTAGTTTACATACGGTTACGCATTGACAACATGTTCATGGCGGTTGATATCCACCCTGTATTATATAAATATGATTACCAGTATTCAGGAATGTTTTATGAATAGACAGTCAATTTAGGGGCAAATGTTCCTAAGTGGGGGTGGGTGCTTAGCCGAGCATGGGCACTATACAGGTTGAATATGGTATATAACCACTATTGTTATCATTCCTCTTCATCAGGTCATCATTTATGCAATTTTTCTCCCCAGAAACACCATTATAGAGAACTCCCTGAAGAGGTGAAGCAGTCTCTTGGCACGGTTCCAGATGAATTTATGTACTATTTTACATCTCGTTTTCCTAAACTACTTCTACATACATACAATGCTATGAAGTGTTGTAGAAATGAGAGACTTTTTAGACTGTATTATGTGCAAGATGACGAACTACACAACAATAGCTTAATGGAGGTTGAGAAGACAGTGTTAAAAGAACTTGAGACTGACTTTATTAAAGAAAAACAGATGCAGAATACAGGAGCACATGATACAGTGAATGATGATGCAGTCTGACTAACGACTAGTGCAATGTAGAAAACAATAGAAAATCATAATGATGTCTGATTGCATGCGGTGAGTGATCAAGTCACAAGTCTCAGATGATTTCAACAATTTACACCATATACACTATTTACTCTTGATATCTGTGTTCAGTGTGCCACAAAACGAAAGAAAAATTGTGTTTGGGATGTAGTCTAGGGATGAGAAAGGGAGTGCTCATAAAATGTGTAAGATATGGCACCAGTCTGACTCATTTTTTATTTATTATTTATATTTCAATATTATATGTACTTCATTTTTGTGATGTTTTAATAGTGCCTGCTGTGCATGGCAGTGAATTATAAGCTTTTTTGTAATACGCCAAAGACAAATTTTGGTATTAAATTATGATCTATCTCATTGTACTGCCATGATTTAATTAGTAATATCATATGGTTATGAACTCCCATATTTTTGCAAGAGACAAATATGCATCAGGAATATCTCAAAGTATTGTCCTCAACAATGATCTCAAATTATGAAATAGGAAATATTTTTAATGGAAAAAAATTGATAGTTTACTGTGTATAACGCATGTATTTTTACACACTGCATTTTACTATATTAGGGGTCATATTGCTTTGTTGTATACGATTTAATTGAACAAGCAAGATTTTTACTGTACTTCAAAATTCTGTCCAAAAACACTCACTACATTGTAATTGAAATGATAAAATATTGATTTGTGGGATGTTGCTAAGCAACCAGTCCTAACATTTTTTTAAAAATGCAAGACTATCAATAAGCTCTTATTGAGGTATGGGGGAGTGTAGTTTGATGTGTTACGTGTACATGTCTTAGTACAGATTGCATGTATTTTAATTCTTGGTGCCTTGAGTGTGCAATATTTTTACTTGCTATTTTCTGAATATCGTCTGAGTGTCCGGTAACGGAGACACAATTGATAATACCTTGGCTAAGTGAGACAAACATGGGGTGACTTTGGTAGTTCAGAATAACATGGGCTGACTCTGGTAACTAAGACAAACATTTGGTTTCTTTGATAACTAAGACAAACATGGAGTGACTTTGGTACCAGAGACAAACATGGAGTGACTTTGGTACCAGAGACAAACATGGAGTGACTTTGGTACCAGAGACAAACATGGAGTGACTTTGGTACCAGAGACAAACATGGAGTGACTTTGGTACCAGAGACAAACATGGAGTGACTTTGGTACCAGAGACAAACATGGAGTGACTTTGGTACCAGAGACATGGGGTGACATTGGAAGTTCAGAATAACATGGGTTGACTTTGGTAGTTCAGACTAACACGGGGTGACTTTGGAAGTTCAGAATAACATGGGTTGACTCTGGTAACTAAGACAAACATTTGGTTACTTTGATAACTGATACAGGGATGGGTAACTAAGACAAACATGGAGTGACTTTGGTACCAGAGACAAACATGGAGTGACTTTGGTACCAGAGACAAACATGGAGTGACTTTGGTACCAGAGACAAACATGGAGTGACTTTGGTACCAGAGACAAACTCGGAGTGACTTTAGTACCAGAGACAATACTTTCGTAGTTCAGACTAACATGGGGTGACTTTGGTAGTTCAGACTAATGTGGGGTGACTTAAGTACCAGATACAAATTTACTTTGGTAGTTTAGACTAACATGGGGTGACTTTGGTAGTCCAGACTAACATGGGGTGACTTTGGTAGTTCAGACTAACAGACTTTGGTAGTTCAGACTAACATGCGGTGACTTTGGTAGCTAAACAAACATGGAGTGACTTAAGTGCCAGAGAAAATACTTTGGTAGTTAAGACTAACATGGGGTGACTTTTGGTAGTTCAGACTAACATGGGGTGACTTTGGTAGTTCAGACTAACATGGGGTGACTTTGGTAGTTCAAACTAACATGGGGTAACTTGGTAGATGGTAGATCATTGGGTAACTTGAACGCACTTTGTATGCCTCTATACTCACTCTCATTTTTCATTGGTTAATGGTAAACTTAAAACACATTCAGTATTGGCGTAAGAGTCACTTGTGTATTCTTATCAAGTCATTCATAAAATTACTTTTTCACTATGTTGACACTATTGAGGTTTAGTATGTCTATTTTCTAAAAACAAGATTTCTATATGTATATATTTCAAAGAAATAATAAAGATATATCTCACCTTCATATGATGCTGTGTTTTTTATTTTATACACAAAACATGAAGACCACAAGGGATTCGAGGTGTGTCTGATGAAACATTGTTCTTAATTTATATATATAGCGCCCTCATGTGGCAGTAAGTATCATTGATTTTCTCTGTTATACAAGTATGTGATCTCATGTCGTGTGATTATAGGTTCAGTTATGGTTTGTTTGTAGTGCTGGTTAATGGGAAAATAAAATATACTATCACAAAGATTTCTCGACCAACAGCTCATAGACTGTTGCCACTTAACATTGACTACTTGCAATTAAATGTGCATTTTTACGTTTTTATTATATGCAGAACACCTCACATTGAAATTTGACAAATGATAAAATGATTTGACAACAAATCTCGAAAATACTGAAGTTGACCTGCACTTAAAGATGTGATGTCTAATCATTTAGTCAAACATACATGTAATATTCGTTGTTGTGATCATTAAAGTTCACCTTACTAAGTTAAATTCAAGGCCCCTGAAATGTTTTCAGGTATCATTGAAAGTAGGAACGTGCCAGAATCTGTTATTTCAGGGTTATTTATGTGAGATTTCAGGTCAATGAATGTGGACGTGTGTTCGTATCCCACTTCTGACAATGTTGTTTTACTCTCGGTAACTTTGCAGACTCTCACACGTTTTAGCTTGGTATGACTTTTTATTGTTTCGTGTGATGCAGCAGTGATTCAAAATTGACATTTAGTTTCATTTAGTTTTTTAAATACTGAACATAAAATTGCCGAATTATTTTCATCAAATTCATGATTTAAACGGTCTATGTTACTAGCACATAAAAGCTCGATATATCTAACATTAAATGTATGTCAGGATGGCCGAGCGGTCTAAGGCGCCAGACTCAAGAATTAAATACCTTGCCCTAATCTCAGGATTATATGTGCTAGTATTCTGGTCCAAAGCAAAGTCTGAAATCGGGAATTATTAATCTTAGTTCTGTTTGTTGGTGCATGTGTGTGTCTGCCTTCAAGATCCATTTCTCAGACATGCTTAGACCAACCACATTTAGGTTACACAGATATTGTCTATGGGTATCACAATAGAAGACAGGATACGAAACTTAACGAGCCTGGTAGTGTATACACACTACGCAGTTACGGGATAAAGTGACAGCGAGACGATATACTTCAGCTATGGATAGTATTTGTTCTGGAGAACATAACATGTATCATCGAGAGTTTGGTAACAACAGGTAATTACAAAGAAATCACAGTATTTATAAACCGCCAAGGATTCACACCGTGTAAACAAATTTTGGAGCTGATTATATAATTATGAGTGTTTCCTATTACGTTAGTATAAGTGGCCTTGATCATTAAAATGGCTTAAAGCAGTCAAGGTTGTGCTAGTTTTCTATAGCTTTACATGCAATATCAAACAGAAACACATTGAACTAACACTAAAAGGATGGAGGTATGTAATGGCAATCTTGAGCTTCAACCTGAGCTTGCTCAGAGTCAACCTGAGCTCCATCCTGAGCTTCAACTTGGGCTTGGGAAATTGTTCACAGCAGAAGCTCAAACAAAGTTGGGACACCTGCACTGAGTTCCAACCTGAGCATCTATAAGATTACATCAGCTGGGTTGAAGTTGAATATTATGTTTTCAATTTAGCAATTGCCCAAGAGTTTTGTTACGGTCACTGCTGAACCCACAAAAATGCCACACACGTACATACTTTAAAGAAGTTAGCAAAAACAAAGTCACTACAAAAGATCAGGAAGAAGAGATATTAAAAGCTGGA